AGATACTGTGAGTTTTCGTCATGTTAGCACTTTTACTTTACTTCTTATGTTTCTAGCAGGGGAGGAGCTAGAGTGTCGGGAGCGGGTTAGGTGAATCCGGTAGCTTTGGTTCGAACCCTATATTTGTCTTTAAAAATCTATTGAATGTATATAAATTATTAATTTAGAAATCAGTAACTTAAAACGATTAGAATTCTAAACCCATACGCTCGATATCTTGGCTCCGCCTCTGGTTTCTAGTACCTTTAATTTTTATTATTATTGTTATTATTATTATTATTATTTATTTTTGTTTTGCATAATATTGGCTTGAGATGAGTTTAAATGGAGTAACATGGTCAGTGAGATTCATATAGCCGACACCACGTTGTTTGGGATTGAGGCGTAGTAGTTGTTGTTGTTTAAAGTATTCCTGACTTTATGTTGCATGTTATTAGCAACAAATACTTCTTTCAACTCGTCAAGATATTTCTACAGATATGTACTCTTATGTTTGGGCTGCATCTGTCCGTACCATGGCATCTTAAAGATGGAATAAACCAGCTTTATTGAATGATGTTTGATCGAATTCAATGTATCAACGAAAAGTAGCATTTCTTTTGTGGTTTGCACAGGTCAGTTGAGGATTTAATTGTGTTCTTCCTTTCTAATAGGTCAGATTCTTCTCACAATATGTTTCTCGCAAAGCAATACATTGGCGGACTTGCAGTCCGCTGGTGATCATGGACCACCGTCGAAGAGGTTGTCTGATGCGCCAACTGAACCTCCTTCTTTGTCTTCCAATGGCCCCTTGAGATCATCTTCTCCTCTGAGATCCGAAGAAGCAGCCTCTTCTAAGGAGGAAAAGCCTCAGGCGCAGACCTTTGCTGGTCGACTTGCTCAAATTTTCAACAAGAATGGGGATGCAGTATCCGCGGCTAACGTGAAAGCTCCAGATATAACAGTGACACCTGAAAGTGCCAGTACCGCAGCTTCTGAGAATGCGCAAGAGGAACAGTCCACATCGGGAAACTTTCAAGAACTAATTAAAAGCATGGAGGCAAGAGAACAAGGAAGCGAAGTTTCAAACCTTCCTGGAGTAGTAGTCGATCAATTGTATGCTATTGCCCCGCATGAATTGAATTCATTCCTGTTTTCACCGGATTCAACCTTCTTTAAATCCTTAGCAGATATTCAGGGGTCCACAGAGTTGCGTATTGGACCTTGGAAACTTGAAAATGGTGGTGAGAGTTTAAAAAGAGTGGTCACTTTTACCAAAGCTGCAAGTAGATTGGTCAAGGCTTTAAAAACTACAGAGGACCAAATGTATCTTAAAGCTGATGGGAAGTCTTTTGCTCTTTCAGCTATTGTGAGTACCCCGGATGCCCCATATGGAAGCACTTTCAGGACAGAATTGCTTTACAACATTACTCCTGGTCCTGAGTTGCCTTCGGGAGAACAGTCTTCGAGGTTAGTAGTGTCGTGGCGCATGAATTTCTTGCAAAGCACTATGATGAAAGGCATGATAGAAAATGGTGCACGGCAAGGTATTAAGGAGAGCTTTGAGCAGTATGCAAATTTATTATCTCAGAATGTAAAGCCAGTTGACGCGAAGGACTTAGGTTCAGAGAAAGAACAGGTTTTGGCATCTCTTGAAGTGGAGCACCAGTCCGATTGGAAGCTGGCTTTCCAGTATTTTGCTAATTTTACTGTAATATCAACGTTTTTCATTGGGATATATGTGTTTTTGCACATCTTGTTGGCCATGCCTAGCACAATACAGGGGCTTGAGTTTGTTGGCCTTGACTTACCAGATTCTATTGGTGAGGTAATTGTGTGTGGAGTGCTAGTACTTCAAGGAAAACGGGTGCTGGAGCTGATATCACGCTTCATGCGAGCTAGGGTACAAAAAGGTATACTATTATTAGTTTCCTGTTTGGTTAAAGATGGTATGAAGAATCCATCAAAATTCAATATATATCATCCAGACATCAGAATTAGGTGTTTTCTCTCGGTTCCTCATTCTTAGCTGTCACAGCATGTTTGCTATGGATACCATGTGTGGTATACATTGTTTTTCCAAGGTTTTGATGTGTTGTATCATCGATACTTTTACCAGGAAGCGACCATGGTGTCAAAGCCCAAGGAGATGGTTGGCTGTTGACCGTTGCCTTGATTGAAGGAAACAATTTGGCAGCTGTTGACTCAAGTGGCTTCTCTGACCCATATGTGGTGTTTACATGCAATGGGAAAACTAGAACCAGTTCAATCAAGTTCCAAAAGTCTAATCCCACATGGAATGGTATATCTTTATCTTTTGAGGGTTCTATTGTCTTTTTTGAAGTTCTATAGTTGCCGTCATTTGAGCATTTATATAAAGATAGTCTCTCCATTGGTTTTGATTTGTGGTTTGAACCTCGTTACATGCAGAAATATTTGAATTTGATGCAATGGATGAGCCGCCATCTGTTCTGGACGTAGAAGTGTTTGATTTTGATGGACCTTTTAGTGAAGCTACATCTCTTGGGCATGCTGAAATCAATTTTGTCAAAAGTAATATAACAGATTTGTCTGATGTTTGGGTTCCTCTTCAAGGAAAGTTGGCTCAAGCCTGCCAGTCTAAGCTGCATTTAAGAGTTTTCTTGAATAATACAAAGGGTACCAATGTTGTCAAAGACTATCTGTCTAAGATGGAGAAGGAAGTCGGGAAGAAGGTAGATCATCTATTTCTGCAGTTAATGTTATATGGCCAATGGATCTCGTTAAATATGGGGATTTAATTTTCTTTGTGAGTCCTGCTGAACGGTGTCTGAATTATTTTTGTAGATAAAATTACGATCTCCTCAGACCAATTCAGCATTCCAAAAGCTTTTTGCGCTTCCACCTGAGGAATTTCTCATCAATGATTTTGCATGTCACTTGAAACGCAAGATGCCCCTCCAGGTAGCTAATGTTTATTGATTCTTTGTGCTGATAAATCATTGAATTTGCTTTTGAACAGTATCTTTAGTCTTTACTGTACTTCTGCATCAGTTGGTCGGGATTGTTAACATTATCTTGTCAAAGATGTAAATGAGTCTCTGCCAACTTTGTGACCTATGGTGCTTTCTTTATTAATGCACCCATTTGTAATTTCTTTTGGTTCAGGGCCGACTATTTTTGTCTGCAAGAATAATTGGGTTCCATTCTGATCTATTTGGACATAAGACCAAATTTTTTCTTCTTTGGGAAGATATTGAAGACATTCAAGTTGAGTCTCCTACTTTGGCGTCAATGGGTAGCCCGAATGTTATCATGACTTTAAAGCCCGGTAAAGGTTTTGATGCAAGGCATGGTGCCAAGACTCAAGATGAGCAAGGCAGGCTGAAGTTTCATTTCCACTCTTTTGTCTCTTTCAATGTGGCTCATAGGTAAGTGCGTCATTTTTTATGAGCGGTTTGTCTATTTTGAACTAGTATTTCGTGTAGGAAACTTCAAGGGAAAAAAAAGCTGTTGTCAGATAAAACACTGGGTTTCGCGTCTGAGCAGCTTATAGTGATAACAAGGAAATTTAATTCTTTGATTATATGTCTAGGACTATCATGGCATTGTGGAAGGCAAGAGCTTTGAGTCCCGAGCAGAAGGTGCAGTTAGTTGAAGAAGAGTCCGAAGCTAAAGGCCTTCAAATGGCAGAAGAGGATGCGATAAGCAATGACTTCCAAGCTGCTGATGATGACTCTGAAGGCAAAAGCCTTCAATCGGAAGAGAGTGGATCGTTCGTGGGTGTGGAGGATATAAATATGTCTGTTGTATATGCCTCTGTACTTTCAGTTCCTGTGAGTATCCCCCCCTGCCTTTCCTTTTGTTCAAGAGATTTTTGGGGGTTAAATATATTTGATGGATTTTGGTTGAGATGGGGTTACAGGCCTGCATGCAGCGGTGGTTAAATTGCTCACCTCTGTCAAAACCTGCCCCAATTATAGTTAGACTATCTGTTAATTGCTCAATAGTTATAGTCCGGCATCTGAGCATGTGAAATAGGAATTCTTAATTACGTTTTACATATCTTGCTCAATATCTTGTTTTGGTTGTTTGCAGACGGACTTTTTCATGGAGTTATTCAGTGGTAATGAACTTGATCGTAAGATCATGGAGAAAGTCGGTTGTCTTAATTATTCTTTTAGTCCCTGGGAATCTGAGAAGCCTGATGTGTATCAGAGGCAACTTTATTATAAATTTGATAAGTGTATATCCCGTTATAGAGGTGAAGTGACAAGCACGCAGCAAAAGTCTCGCCTTTCTGATAAAAATGGTTGGCTCGTAGAAGAGGTCATGACTCTTCACGGAGTTCCACTGGGTGATTTTTTCAATGTAGGGACATTTATGATATGTCGTTTTTCTTTCCATTTAACATCTGCTCACAGTAGGCTAAGAGCTCTTTGTCTGTATATTGCAGCTTCACCTGAGATACCAGGTTGAGGTTGTCCCCTCAAGATCGACGAGATGCAACGTTCAGGTACATCTGGGAATTGCTTGGTTGAAATGCTCGAGACATCAAAAAAGGATCACGAAAAACATAGTTTCTAATCTGCAAGAGCGCCTATTAGTCATGTTCAGCGGAGTTGAGAAGGAATATCTCTCAAAATCTGATCCCGTCGTGATCTAGAGGGGTCCTTTGGCTTTTGCAGACCCTCGGAAGGACTAATTATTGCCAATATACACAATCCCGGTTGATCCTCATCCACCAAATATTCGCTGAAGCAATGTTGTTGTATAATAGTTCACGAGTCACTAACACTGATAGGAAGAAGCAAAATATGTAAAAATACACTATGGAGCTCAGTGTATGGTTGAAGATATCAGGAATATGCAGCCAAGACAGTGATCTCCCAGTCGCAGTGTTTGGATATGTGCTTATAAATTGTTAGTACAGTACTGTCTTCAACTAGTTTGGAATCGAGGTGTAGTTATTGTATGGCATCTTACATTCAAGTAGATTCGTGACCATAATTTTTTTTGACATNGGGCGTGCGTTTAATCCCTTAAATTTTGACAAATTAAGCAACGGTAAAGTTCTCTTCGTATGACCGATAGGTCACCGGTTTGTACAGTCGAAACAACCACTAATGCTTGCGGCCTTTCCCGGACCCTGGGAGAATGCAGGATACTTTGTGCATCGGATTGGAATACCTTTTTCTTATTGTGGTCATGTGATGTCCGGTTAAGCACACATTTAACCTTCCATCCATTGAAATGTGTACCTTTAGGGGTCGTTTGGTATTAGCTAATACCCCAAAACAAACATGGGATAAAATTAATCCCAAACTTTATGCCGGGATTATTATTCTTATCCCATATACCAAACGACCCCTAATTAGTACTTCTAGTTTTGAATCTTCAAAAATTCAATGAATCTTCTACTTATTTTACCGAGCTCTATATTATATCAACAAACTTTTTTGTACCAAGCATGTTTTTATTTTATTTTTGACAAAAGAAAAGGAAAATAGATCATTATATTTTATGTTTTTCCCCTCTTTTGAATAAAATCTTACCGCCTCTGGTTCATTTTAAATGTTTTGACATATTTATTAAGAAAGTCATTTATTAGTATTAATCTAAAGGATTGTTTAATTATATTATGCTTTTATCTTTTCTAATTTAGAAAATTCTATAAGTCATTTAGTGGAGTTAAAAATGGTAGATTTGAAAGAAAAAAAAATGTAGTGCTTTCTTGGCTTCCTAAAATTATAATAGTACTTATATTGGCTTAAATTTATTTAGCTAAAACGGCATTTAAAATGGACTTAATGGAGTTTAGTATACAAGCCTAAATTATTCTTATCATATCTTCATATCTGGTATTAATTACAACAACAAATACGGTAAAATTTTATAAGCGAGATTTGGGGAGCATAATATGTATGTAGACCTTAACTCTACCTTGAAGAGGTAGAAATGCTGTTTTCGAAAGACCCTCGATTCACGAGAATAAATAAAAACGAAAATATTTGTCAATTTGATTTGTTTAGTTTTTGTTATTACATTTTACAAGTAGTAATTAATAATTTCTCACCTAAACGTCTCTTTGATTTGTCCTCTTAGAAATACACTAAAGTAATTTTTTTTTAATCTTCATATAACAACCCCCCCCCCAACCCCCCAACCCCCACCCACACCCCAAACCAAAAAAAAAAAGAGAGGAAAAGACCGGGGGTGGGTAGTATTAACTCCCCCCTGCTCCTTTATCTCTCGCCTCCATAATTTTCTTCCAAAATCCCCAGAC